TCTCATGCTTATGATAAGATAATACAAGATAATTGTAGCCAGATTATTGTCAAAGGTGTGAAATGGATAGACATACTTTTCAAAGGTGTTTGGCATTGATATGAATGATAATCTTTGTAGGGACAAAATTAAAAGTTTCCTGATAGATGGTCAGATACTCTAGATATTTCAGTAACAATGTGGAAGATATTACTCTGGTTGCATCAAGCCGAAGAAGTTTTATAGTGCTTGCTCAGTGTGTTCTATGATTATTCAAAAGATGAATTTAGTAACCATAAATAAACTAATTGGATGAAAAATACATATTGTCTAGACTATGGCACACAATTGGAAGGCAGTCTTTATATCTGGGACAAGCACTGCAGATGTAAATTTGACCCAGAATTGAATAGGAGGAAAAGAGTAGGCTGGATTCCATTTAGGTAGCTGCACAATTTTTATGAATTTAAGCTGTTCTGACACAAAAACTATCTTTAACATAAATGTTCTCCCTGTTATTTTATTTGGTAACATTGTTATAACAACGCAATCCCTAAAAAACCAGTTTGGGCAGCTAGGTGGTATAGTGGATAGAGCTCTAGCCTTGGAGTCAGGAGGACCTGAGTTCAAATCCAACCTCAGACACTTGACACATTAGCTGTGTGACCCTGGGCAAGTCACTTAACCCCAATTGCCTCACCAAAAAGCAAAAAACAAAACAACAAAAAAACCCCACAGTTATAGGTAACCCAAGTGGCAATGGAGAAAGATATATGGTTAGGGGGTCTTGTAGAGAGAGGGACAACAGAAGAACAATTCAAGTGCCGTACTATTAAAACGCCAAAGAAAGGCCTAAGAAAAGTACATTGGGTAGATCCTTCAAGGATGTCCTTAGGGAGAAAACAGACAAACACACAGGGTAAAGCATGGTTGGGTTTATGTGGAGGCAAGGCTCACGATGAGATTCGTTGAAGTATTTAAAAGAAAAAGCATGGAGAAAGAGAACATTTGAGGTATACAGTTCAGTAGGAACAAAAGCGTAAAGCTGAGAAACCACAGGGCATGCTTGGGACTCAATAAGTAGTCCAGTTTGGTTGTCATGCAGAGTACGTGAAGGAAAATAGTATGACGTTAGGCTAGAAATGTTGGGTGGTACTAGTTGAATGCCTGAAAAGAAATTGGAAACTTACTTGGTAAGCAGTAAAGATCAATTAAAGAATCTTGAGCAGAGAAATTACATGACCGTTTCTATAAGATAGATTTTTCTAGCAGTAATATGAAGGATTGGAGATGGAAAAAGGTAGAGGTGGGATGACCTATTAGAATATGACAGTTTAAGGAGTTGGTAATCAGGGCCTAGGTTAGCTAGGTGGCACAATGGATAGAGGCCTGGACCTGGAGTCAGGAAGATTCATCTTTGTCTGGCTTCAGTCACTAGCTGTGTGTCCCTGGGTGAGCCACTTAACCCTGCTTGCCTCAGTTTCTTCATCTGTTAAATGAGCTGAAGAAGGAAATGGCAAACCACTCTAGTATCTTTCCCAAGAAAACCCCCAAACTACGAACCACAACAGTGAGGGCCTATACTAGGATGGTAGCAGGGGGGAAAATAAAGGGAAAGCAAGTTGTAAAGCATATTATGAAGGCGGAATTGATTGGTCTTGGTGGCTAGATATGAGAGGTCAGAGAGAAGGAAGAATTATATAAAAAAGGAACACCAGAGTTTCCAACATGGGAGACTAGTTCAATGTCAGGGCCACTGATAGAAATGCCAGGCACTTAAAGATGTTTAAGGGGAAAATAAACTTGGTGAAATAGTGGATAGAGCACTGGTCCTGGAGTCAGGAAGAACTAAGTTTAACTCCAGCCTCTGCCATTTTCTAGCTGTGTGACCCTGGGCAAGTCACTGTTACCTTGATTGCCTCAGTTTCCTCAACTGTAAAATGGGGATAATAATACCATCTATCTCCAAGGGTTGTTGCAAGGATCAAATGAAATAATATTTGTAAAAAGCGCATAATAGGCAGCTATATAAATGCTTTTTCTCCTGGTTAGTGATTCCACTGACAGAAACATTTAAGTCAGGAGGATTAGAGGGTGAATCAAAATAAACTTGATTTTGGATATCTTTATTTTGGTGTGAAGATCTATCCAGGTAGAAGATCTATCCAGGCAGTTCAAAATGCATATTTGAGCACAGAAGGAAGTCAGGGCCAGAGATGTGTATGATGGGGGTAAATTAATCCTTGAGAGTGAATGAGATTATGTAGAAAGACAAGAGTGCCAAGATCAGACCCTTGGGAAATACACACCTTAGGGATTAGGGATCAAATGAGAGCCAAGGAGATGGGAAAAGGATTAATGAAGAGGAGAATCTGAAGCTTGGGAGGAAAGAGTATCCTGCAAGAAGAAGTGATCAACAATGTTATATGCTTCGGAAAGAATAAGCATGAAAAATAACTACTAGATTTGGCCTAAGGTCTTTGGTGACCTTTGGGAGAGAATATGAGATTAGAATCCAGATTACAAGGGTTTAAGATAAGAGCAAGTAGAGAGGTGGAAAACTTCAAAAGTTCAGTTGTGAAGGGGGAGCTGGGATAATAACTGAGTGATAGAAGGGTTTAAAGAAGTGTTTTTTTGGAATTAGGGGAAACAGCATATTTTGTAAATAGATAGCAAGAAGCCAGTGGAGAGATGCTCTTCACATTTTTCATTTACTCCCATGGAAATTTCTATTATTTTCTTTTTTAACTTCTGCAGACACTTTATCTGCTTTTAAGACTTCAACTGTCACTTCTATATGCTGATTCCCAAATTTAAATCTCTTGTTCTGTCTCACATAAGATCCAGGCCTGTATTTCCAAACACCTTTAGGACGTTTGCACTTGGATATCAGTCCAACTTAGAAAATATTTATTAAGTTGTTGTGGTATGCAAGGCACTGTGTTAGGTTCTGGGGATGCAATGATAAAGGGAAGCAGTTCTTACTACTGAGGAGAGGATCATGACACATCCAAATAAGTCTATTCCAAGGAAAATTGAGGCGGGAGAGAGAGCATCACCAACTAGGGGATTGGGAGAGACTTCATGTAGAGAAACCCACAACTGAGCCTTGAAGGAAGACAAGGGTTCTGAGAGGCAGAGGTAAGGAAGGTGCGCGTTTCAGGCGGCAGACGCAGCTTGGGAGAATGAAGCAAGGTGGGAGGTGGAGTGTTAGGTCAGGGAATGGCTGTTGATCTCGTTTGGGCTGGAATGCAGAGTTCATGCAGAAGAGCCTAAGATAACCGCAAAGAAGGCAGGAGCCATAATTTGGAGGACTTTAGACTTAAACTAGACTGAAGGGTTTTCATCTTATTCTATAGGCAGTGAAGAGCAACTGAAGGTTTTTGAGCAGGGCTACAACGTGGTTAGACTTGTGCCTTTGGAAGATTATTTTAGCAACTGGAGGACAAGTTGAAGAATAGAGATGCTAGAAGCAGGGAGACCGTTTAGAAAGCTGTTGCCAAGTTCTCAGATGAAGAAATTAAAGCCATCTGGAGTCATATGAAAAAATGCTGGAAATCACTATTGATTAGAGAAATGCAAATCAAAACAACTCCGAGATACCACATCACACCTATCAGATTGGCCAACATGACAAAACAGGAAAATAATAAATGTTGGAGAAGATGTGGGAAGATTACAACACTAATGCATTGTTGGTGGAGTTGTGAACTGATCCAGCCATTTTGGAGAGCAGTTTGGAACTATGCCCAAAGAGCTATAAAAATGTGCATACACTTTGACCCAGCAATAGCACTTCTAGGGCTGTATCCTAAAGAGATCATACAAATGGGAAAAGGACCCACATGTACAAAAATATTTCTAGCAGCCCTTTTTGTGGTGGCAAAAGATTGGAAATTGAGAGGATGCCCATCAATTGGGGAATAGCTGAGCAAGTTGTGGCATATGAATGTAATGGAATACCACTGTTCTGTAAGAAATGATGAGCAGGAGGACTTCAGAAAAACCTGGAAAGACTTGTATGGTCTGATGCTGAGGGAAGTGAGCAGAACCAGGAGATCATTGTACACAGTAACAGCTACATTGAGCGATGACTAGCATTGATAGACTTAGCCCTTCTCAGCAATGCAAGGATCTAAGACATCTCCGAAGGTCTCATGATGGAAAATGCTATCCACGTCCAAAGAAAGAACTATGGAGTCTGAATGCAGATCAAAGCATACTATTTGCTATTTTTTTTTCTGTTTTATTTCCTTTTTATGGTGGTTCCTCCTTTTGGTTCTAATTCTTCCTTAAAACATGACTAATGTGAAAATATGTTTAATAGGAATGTATATGTATAGCCTATATCAGATTGGGAGGGAGGGAGAGAAAAATTTAAAACTCAAAAGCTTGTGGAAGTGATTGTTGATAAATCAGAATAAATTAATAAAAAAATTTTAAAAAGAATTAAAATATGGGGAAAACCCAGTTCAATACAATACTTTAAAAAATTATTTGAGTACCCTAACCTGAACTGATCTTTCACCTCTGAACTCTTAAAGTAACTATTGTCTCTTTAGCTCACTTGATAGTTACATACTGCTTTGTGTGATGTTTTCTGTTTTTCTTATTCGTATTGTTTAAATGTTCACTTGCTATTTAACTAAATAGCTTGTCTTCCTAATGAGATTATAAGCCCCTTAAGAGCAGGTACAAGGACAGATGCATAGGTACTCAATTTTAAAAAATTAATCTTAATCACCTTACTTCTTAGGACACAGTAGATTTTTTATAATATTTTAAACATTTTTCTCTCATGTATTCAAGTAGACTAAATATAAGAATTGAAATGATGATAACATGATCTTATTTCAGCTTCCTGTGACAGAAACAGTTGATCTTCTGTTGTGAAGGGAGATTGTTCCAATAAATAAGCATCGAGTTTAATGCCTTTCAAGAGTTTCTTTTTTGGAGCTTCCATGTGAATTTTTTTTTATTTCTGTGAATTAATCATATTCTTACTCTGATTTTTATTTTAGGTATCTTGAATGATTTAGCATGGATCCTGTTGCTAGTCACAGCTGCCACCTTCTTCAGCAGCTCCATGAGCAGCGTATTCAGGGCCTTCTTTGTGACTGTATGCTGGTGGTGAAAGGAGTCTGCTTTAAGGCACATAAAAATGTTTTAGCTTCTTTCAGTCAGTATTTTAGGTATGTGTTTTAGGCTTGATTCATATATGATCATATTCAAGAACCAATTTTAAAACCAAAATATTTTCACTTAGGTGTGAGTTCTCACTTTAATAATATTATCTACTTAAATTCCATTCAAGTTTTTTCCTTTTTAAATTATACAAATCTGTCCAAAAGAATGTTGTGAGCTTCCCACCCAAAATGTTTTTCAGTAATTAAGATGGTGTCATAAAAGTAGTATTCAATTATTAATAAAAATAATTGTGAAATCCTTTATAAAGTTTTCTATTCTGATGAACAATTCCAGTGATCTTAAAACAATTCATACTCTTTAAAAATAAATAGATTAAGAATTGAACACCTGTCATTGGTGCTTTTTTGATAAACTGTCACTTCAATAAGAGACCAGGGGAAATTTTGTTGTGTCCTTAAAAAACATAATTAAAACATTTTAGCCTTTGTTTCTCATATATCCTAAAGAACATAAATTCTTTAAGGCATTCCAGTAGAATGTTCTAAATAGAAATATGTGTATCTGTGTTTTGTACATTGAAATAATTGATGGTAATTTGAAAGTCCATATGATTACTAAATATAAAAAAATATATCTTCTTTGATGTTGTGTACTGTCATTGAAATTTATACTACATGAGACAGTTTTATATATGTAGATACTAAGTAGATTTTGTTTTCCTTAGAAATTATCTTCAAACCTTTCTCTACGTATTGATAATGTCATCTATATTTTTTTTGTCCAAACCTATATCATCTGCCTAGGGAGCTCTTCTAATGAGGCAGATTTCTTCTTCAGTGAAGATTAAGGATTCTTCTGTAAACTATAACTTAGAGAATTGCATGGGGCATTAAGGAAGTTAAGGGATTAAAGTCACCTAGCCCAGATGTGTATGGGCACAACTTGAACCCAAGTTTTCCTGACTCCAGGAGTGGCTTTAACCATCATTCTCTGCTTTTTGTCGGTGATTCACATTATAGTTTGAATTTTAAAAACTAGTTGCAAATTAAAATGTGGCTTTAACAGTGATACCTTCTCCATTCTTTTTGATAGTTATGTTAATTTGCCTAAATTGTTAGAAAGATGGGAGTTTTAAAAACTAACAAGTTTTTGACCCTGGTGTTTGTAGGATGGTAATTATTAACATAGGCTTATTTGGATGTTATTTGTAAGCAAAGATTGTTAGTATAGATGTGTTCTTTTACACTGTAAACAGATATACTTTCTTTCATCAGGACTTTATTTCAGAATTCTTCGGGCCAGAAGAATGATGTTTTTCATTTGGATATAAAAAATGTAGGAGGCATAGGGCAGATATTGGACTTCATGTACACTTCTCACCTGGATCTTAACCAAGACAACATACAGACAATGTTGGACATAGCACAGTGCTTACAAGTACAGAATGTACTGAATATGTGTCACGCATTTTTGAAATCTACTGCTATCGAGCAGTCGCCCGGCTTGCCTTGTAATAGTGCATTCTCCTTGCACGGTGCTCTGGCTACTGATGCCAATGGTGTTATGAGTGAAAACTACCCTCCTCACCTACTACAAGAGTGTTCAACAGGTACACATCCTCATAAGGTTCTGGATGGCCAGCCTTCCCATGGACCACAATCAGTTCATCTTCAGAATTCTTCAGGTGAAGGACCAAAACAGACATCAGATGCTGTAGGTGGCACCTGTACAGAACTTCCATTTAAGCAGTCAAATTACTATTACAAACTTAGAAACTTTTACAGTAAACAGTTCTATAAACAAACTTCTTGTTGCAGTCATGAACGAGTCATTGAACAGCCCTTTGCTTTCAGTGCATCTACAGATCTTAACTCAGTAGAAAATCATGACTGTACTGTCAGTCCCTCTGAATGTATCTTGGAATCTTCTGAACACCTCCCTTCTAACTTCCTTGCCCAGCCCTTGAATGAAGCTGCCCCAGATCTGGAGTCCGACAGCACATCATTGCAGCCTGCTGAACAGAGGAGATTGAAAAAAGCTATCCACCTCAAGAAACTAAGCTTCCTAAAATCGCAACAGTCTGCAGAAGAATCATCTGAAGCTAAAGCAGATCATAGTTTAGCAAAAGGAATAGCAGAGTCACCTTTAGTTAGTGAAAGTTCTATAGAGAAGACTAATAGTCAAGGGGCTGAAGAAAAAGAAAGTGAAGAAATCATTAGTTCAGAGAATTTTGATTGTATTGCTGAAATTGAAAGGACTGAGGGCACTGTCTTCTTGAAAGACCAGACACAACCTCTGCAGCTGCAAAGACAGTACACGTGTGAACTATGTGGAAAGCCTTTTAAACATCCAAGCACTTTGGAGCTTCACAAACGGTCTCATACAGGTACAGTGCCTTCAGTACACAATGGTGAACACTTTTTAGATAGTGTTACTTGCTCACATTTTTTTAAAGAGGTTTTTCTGTTAGTTGTTGATGAGGTTTATGGTTGCAAAGATTATTTGAGAGATTTCTCAAAGGAGCATTTTGGCCACCTTTTCCTTTTTTCACTTTTAGCTTGCAGGTACAATTCCTAAATCTTAGAATTCTACAAATGGTTCTCCATACCCTGAACAGAAAAGGTGGCTTTTTTTTATCTTATTTGATTTCTGTTCCATATTAATATTTAAACCTTTTGAGTTTTAAAAAGAAATATTTATTTTTATGTCATTAAGTTTTCATATATTCTAATATACTATATTTATTTTAATCCTATTCAGTTGAATATTTCTCAACTATAGCTAGCTTGCACTAATTTTTTTAATTGTTTAATTTGCAATTAACTCATGAAAAAAAGTAAGATCTTTTGATTTCTTCATGAACAAATCTGATCATTTGAGCTGTCTTGGTAACTCTTGGTTAGATGGACCAGTTTTTAAATTTTAATTTAAAAATGAAAATTATTACAAACTAATATATACAGATTGAAACTGGTCAACTGATATAATTTCCCTCTTCTATTTTTCAAAATGGTCTGATCTTTTAAAAAACAAAGTGTTATGAAATAGTTATATAAATTGTACCTTGCCTTCCTATAACTAAAGTTAATTACTTTAGGATAAACATTTCACAAAGATATGACAAGCATATTATGGATTTCTGAGGTATTATGTGTGTAGGATATTTTCATGACAATGATTGTAGAAATAAGTATATGATTATGGTCAATACAAAAAATACCACTTGATAGGATATTTCTCTTCCTGTTATCCCCTAGAATTCTCAGGTCTTGATTTAGTTCTTTTACTGTTTACTAGGTTGAAATTACTCTACCCTAAAAATAAAGAAAAGCAACTTTGTCTTTAACCCTAGGTTCTGTCTTAAAAATATTTACTTTTGTACCTCTAAATTATAAAAAAAAAATTTCACAGGCCTAATTACCTGCCTGTCTCTCACGTGCGTGCGCGCGCACACACCCACACACGACATTGAAAACCTTATCTTTGTAGTTTCAGAAGCAGCAAAAAATTCTATTTCGTGCTTTGAAGGCACATCTCTTGAATGACAATAACAATGTAATCAAAATTAATGCAAAGAATCTTGTCAAAAAGGAAATAAATCTTTTGATACATGTGGTACTCTGTTAAGAATGGTCATTGACCTTGATCGTTTGTGAGCCTGGGCCATATGTGAACCCAATTTTCTTACTGTATTTCTGATAATAGAGTTTTAATTTATCCTTGAACCTATTATCACATTATCCCAGGCATGTCTGTAGAATTAAATTTAGAATTAAAAATGAATAGAAAATAGCCAAAGATCAAGGATTTTGTGTCATCACAAAGCTAACCTATACTTTCAAGAAGAGCTACAAATGAAAATGTATTATTTCCATCATAAACCTAGGTCAGTGAACTGTAGTTTTACTAGACCAATAAACTATAATTTTACCAGAGCAGGAAGAAAAAAATTTAATTCTAAAGATGAGGACACATTATAGGAAATGTACCATCTTTTCTCTGGCAATATATTTTGATGAGCTATAACTTAACATGAGGGGAATGAGAGAAATAGGATGTTTTTTATCCCCCACAACTATCCAGACAGCATGATTTAAAATCAGTACTTTGTACCAGCAAAAGGCCACAGCTAATAATGAAAACTAAAAATAATCTGTTAATTCAAACTGAGGTCAAGGAAAACAATAATTTTTCCCCTTACCCCAGTCTCTGGCTGGTCCATTCTCTTTCCCTTCCATGCCCCCTTCTGTCATGTGCATAGAAAATGGCAGAGGTTCAGCAGCCCTAGACTTAAATGCCTGTTTCACCCGTTGGGTTACCATAGACAAGTCACTGCTCTGAGCTCGTTTCCTCATCTGTAAAATAAGGAGAATATTTGTGGGATCCTCCAGGAATGGTAACAATCCAACTGTGTCTATAGATCTGTATCTGAAGTGCTTTGTAAGCCTTCAAGGCCTCGAGAAATGTCAGGTATTTTGTTAGAAACAAATGGTAGAAATGTATGTGCTCATGCAAGAAGAGATGACGAGGCTGTAAGGATAGCCTGGTGGTAGGAGCACCTCCGCTTTTGGGCCCAGAATGGGGATCTAGGGCAGAATAGTTTTGTGCTTTGTGTGGCTGAGGCTTTCATTTGAATGCATGAGTTGTTTGGCTGTGATAATTAGACATATTTTGGACTTGATATATGTACTTTAGAAGGAAACAACCAATTACAAAAATTTTTATTTTTTTTTTCCCATCAGAGATAGGTACTATGAATATGTGTAAATGATTCAGGATCACAGTGTTACTTTTTACAAGAGCTACTTCTTCAAAGACATCACTAATTACACCGTCACTACTAACAGTTTTACATGTTCTGTTTTTGTTTTAGGTGAGAAACCTTTTGAATGTAACATTTGTGGGAAACACTTCTCCCAGGTGGGAAAAATTTTATTTATAGCTAATTACTGGAAACCTGAGTGAATTGCTTGTTTTTAGTACAAGTAAAACAGTTCGTAGTATTTATGAGACAAGGCTTTGTATTTTTCTTGTATAATCTTACTTAAAGGATTTACAGTTAGCCAGGGTAAAAAAATAATTTTAAAGGGAAAAAAATTCTGTTTCCCTTTATAAGGGATAAGAGGGAAAATTTTTTCTCAAGTGAATGAACTTTTATAATACTAAGATGGGCTAAATCTTGCTCAATTTCCCTTTCCCTCTTTGCAGAGTTCCCAGTAAAACCAGTAATGCATATACCCAAAAGCAATTTAGGATTGTCTTTGAAAAAACAGGCATATAGCCCGTTGCTGGTCCATGTTTGAATGCCTTTTCAGCTTAGTGTAGAACCTGCAAGAGTTTGTGCCCTGATGGCACAGACTAATAGTACCAGAATATCATCTTTACTGCACAGAGGGATCTAAGGAATTATGGAGGAGGATAGAGATATAGTTAGCTTTATTCAGCATCTCCTTGGCAGGATTGTTATGAGGATCAAATGAAATCATGTATGTAGACCTTAAAACACTGTAAATGGGAGCTCTTGTTAATTTATTTTCATTCCTCTTTTTTTGTAGCTAAAGGATTGAGTCTGTGGTTTCACTGTAACCTCTCCTTTATCAGCACAGTACCTAATATAGTTCTTTGCATTGTTGACACATCCTAAATGTGGCTAATTAAATTATTATTTCATTGGTGAATCCACATCATTCTTGTGGGCTATGACTTTTAAGTAATAGAATTATTTGTATTAAACATATCTGTGCTTCAGCAGACAAATGGGTGTTGTCCCTGTCAAAGTCATCTCCTTGCAACAGAGCATGCTTATGTCATTAGTATCACTGCTTAAAACTGGTGTCACTGGTGTCACTGCTCAAAACATTTCATAAACTTCTCTTTGGGTATTCCTTATGAATCCTGAAGCATGTGCCTTTCAGGATGTTTAGTGGCATGTATTTGTCCTTTAAGGGCAGAGGTTTTTTAAACACCCAAAAGCTATTTGCAGCCAATTCTGGTGAATCTGGGAAATGATTAGAAACCACTGCTGGAGGATGCAGAGTATGTGTAAATTCATACACCAGTCAGTAAGACTCCAGATTCCCTGCTCTATTTTGTCTGTTACCACCAGCAATTTCTCTATCTTTCCTGGCCCCCAGTCTTATAACTTCCTTTCTTAGCCCTTAATCTCTTTTATCTTTCACATCTAGGTTACTACCAAGATACTTTTTTCCTGTGTAACATTACTTAAGATCTTTCCTCTCTTCCCTTTGGTTTCCCTTCCATAGCTGCAGAACTCATTCATGTCCTAATCACCTTAGGCAACCATTATGGCAACAGCATTCTTTCCTACCTCTCAAAGAGCTGGAACCATTTATTTCCAATATGATTTCATTAATATCACCTTCCTTAAAAGGCTGCCAATTGTGATTGACTCTCACCTCAAGTTAAAGCTTTGGCTTCAGTTGACTTCTTAGCCAGTGACTTTTTTTTAGAACAAATTAACACATATTTATTAAATAACCATCTATTCACTAAGCCCTTTTGTATGTTTGTGGGAGAATCCAGAAGAGGTCCAGGCCGTAAAAGAATCTTACAGTATCCTTGAAGAGATAAGGTAGAAACACTTTGACATCTCCCTGACATTTGACAATTTGGTCACTTCCTTTCTTCTCAGATTTCTTAACACTCATCTGTCCTGACTTCTCTTTTTCTGTCTCCTTTATGAGTTCTTCTTCCTTCTGTTGTCTAAGCATGGATTGTATAATCATAAATTAAGAGCTATAAGGAATATTGGAGAGTTAATCTAAGAGCTATAAGGAATATTGGAGATTTAATCTACACACACACACACACACACACACACACACCCCAAGACCCAGAGACTGATTTGCCTGGATCACAAAGGTAGTAAGTAACAGGCCAAGAGTTGTGCCTGGCTCCTCCAACCTAAACCCATTTCTGCCTCTAAGGCATTTATCAAGTTTCTGTCCTTTGACCATTTTTCCTCTCTTCTGATTTCCTCAGAAACCTACTCTATCTCCATAATTTCAGCTGGCATTTCCAAATCTTGCTTTCATTTGAGAAATATTTATTGATCTCCTGGTATGTACAAGGGACTTTGTACAGTTCTTGCCCTCAAGAAGCTTATGATCTAGTTGGAGATAACAGTATGCAGATAACTCATACGAAACCGTGTGTGATAAGTGCTATATAAATGGTGTAAAATATTGCTATAGGAGTTCAGGAGAGAAAGATCTCTTTCAGCAAATGTAATGAGAGAAAGATTTGAACTGGGCCCTGAAGGAGAATAGGATTTCAAAAGATGGAGAATAACAAGGTGGTGTAAAAGTAAGCATTCTAAGGTGACTTAAATGGCTTGAACAAAGGTGTGGAGGCAAGAAAGTAGAAGGCTAGTTTGGGGAATAACGAATATGTTGGTTTAGCTAGAATATCGGAGAGTAGTGCAGGTATAAACTTGGAAAGGTAGGTTGATGCCAGAGGAACTTGGACTGCACAGTGAAAACCTTCCTGAGCATTAGGTTGACATGACCAAAGCAGAACTTTGGGAAAATCAGTCTGATGGCTGATGTGCCTGATGGCATGGAGGAAGGGAAGACAGGTAGGATACCACTTGAAATGACCTCGGCATGAAATAACAAAGGCCTATCTTACACAGGGATGTGGGAATGGAAAAGAAGCTGACACCTGAGATGTTATAGATAAAGCCCTGATCACTTTCTCTAGTTCTCATCCCTCATTTTCACCTGTCTGCTGAACCTTTTCATCTGGTGTTCCTAATATTACTTCAAACCTAACAAATGTGTTTAAAATCATCCTTATCATTTTTCCCTCTCCAAGAACCCCTCTCCACCTTGATCTTTTTCCTGACTTTCCTCTTCTTCTCTCAGTACTGAAGCTGAAAACGTGTTATCTTTTATTTTTTTTCACACTTGATAGAGAGGCAGTGAGGTCTAGTCACAAGAGCACTGGATTTACAATCAGAAGACCTAGGTTTACTTCCAGACTTATTTACTACATGTGTGACCCCGAGTGAGTTGCTTACCTTCTCTGGGCCTCATTTACCTCTTTGCAAAATGGCTTCTAGGTTACTTTCTAGCTCTAAATTTGTGATCCTAAGCCTTGTTGAATTAAAACTGCACTAGGCACTGGAAGAAATCAAAAGGTAAATAAGATAGAGTCCTTTCCCTCAAGAGCCTTACAGCCTGTCAGAGGAAGAAAAATGTATGCAGAAAAATATAGTGCCATTTACAGTTTGTCAGTGTGGTGTAGAGGATGAAATGCTCCTGGAGTCAGAGGACACATCTAACCCTGGCTGTGTGACCACGGACAAGCCATGAAACTTCTCTGAACCTCAGGCAACTCTCGAAGATGCCCACTAAGTTACAGAGAGAACACAGTGTGTCTTAGTGGAAGGACTTAGGCCCTTGTTATTCTATTCCTGTATTACCATAATAGCCTCCTAATTGGCTGCCTTCCCTCCAATCTCCTTAAGTTAAATCCAATAAAACATTTTTTTTAGTGCCTACAGTGTTAGAGGCTGCATGGTAGGTGCTGAGGATACAGACACAAAAATTAAATGCCTCGTCCTCGAGAAACTTGTTTTCTACTAGGGAAGATACAGCATGTATACAGATAGGCAAATGCAATTGGATGAAGGAAAAACCACTAACCACCAGGAGAATCAGGAAGGGTTTTATATGGAAATGGCCCCTGACATGAATCTTTAAGGAAAGTAAGGGTTCTGAGAGGCAGAATTAAGAAAGAAGCACATTCCCAGGTGTGGAGACAGTCTTCCTAAAGTGTAATGATTGAGTTACTTTATTCTACAAAAGCCTTAGTGAGTCTTCTTACCAAATAGAATCCCTATGTCTGCCTGGGATTTGCTTTGGCAATTTTGTTGACTGTGGTTACTTCCTGTGCCTACAGTGCCAGTCCCTCCAGCTCCATCTGTTGATATCATACTTAACTTTCAAATCTCAGCTCACATGCTGCCTTCTTAATGGAATATTCTGTGATCTTTCCAGCTTGAAGTAAGCGCTTGCGTGCTCTCTCCCTTCATCTCATATCTCTTTAGACTCCTTTTATGTCCTTACCACATTTTAATTCATATTTTTTTGTGTGTGTATGTATCTTTATCACTTATACAGTATAAACTTTGTGAAGACAGAAGATATTTAATTTGGGTTTTGTATTCCCCATAGCACCTAGCACAATGTGTGTTGTGAGACTATGTGTTGAGGGAATGATTCAGTCAACCAAACCATCTATCCCTACTTGCCTATAGAAAGCCAGTGCTCTAGCCAGACCAGGCCAGGCCACACCACTCACTTTGTCAAGCACAGCAGACAACTTCTCTTTGCCTGACACCTTTGCCTCCTGATTGCATCATTCCCTCTGCCTGAAATGCAGACATCCTCATGGTTCTTCCCATCAAAATTCTGTTTCTTAGATGGCAGGCAGCATAAGATACTGAAAAGAACACTGGACTTGGAGTCAGAAGATCTGAGTTTAATTCTTGGCTCCATCACTAACTAGGTGACAATGAACAAGTTTCTGTACATTTCTCTTTTCTCATCTGTAAAATGAGCATGAAAATACCTGTGCTGTCTAACTGTAGACGGCCATTGTGAGGAAAGTGCACTATACAGGGTAACTAGCTATAGAAATGTGAACTGCCATCATTATTCTCCTTCAAGAGCCAGCTTAACCTACTTAACATCTCCACGACAGCCAGAGACATTTCTCAAGACATTACTTTCATGAAATGTCCTTTCAATACTTCTCTACCCAACCATCCCCTCCCATTCCTTTAGGTCATGTTCCAAATTCAGTTCTGTGAAGCCCTCCCAGAATAGCCTTACTGGCTTTAATACCTAAGAACATCAGGTACGATGCTAATTTGCCTGCCCTTTCTTTGTAGG